AAACCACAATGAGATATCACCTCACACCAGTAAGGATCGCCACCATCCAAAAGACAAACAACAACAAATGTTGGCGAGGTTGTGGAGAAAGGGGAACCCTCCTACACTGCTGGTGGGAATGTAAATTAGTTCAACCATTGTGGAAAGCAGTATGGAGGTTCCTCAAAAAGCTCAAAATAGAAATACCATTTGACTCAGGAATTCCACTCCTTTTGGATTGGCCACACAGTTCTCTCAATATTGTTTCATTCCTAGAGGTCCTTTCTTCTCTCTGTGCCTCAGCTTTTTTATATTACTCTTCTGTAATTTCTATTCCATTTACTCTCTCTTCTACTGCATCTAATCCGCTTTTAAATCTCTCCATTGTATGTTTCATTTCAAATATTGAATTTCTTACCAATTGAATCTGTCCTAATTTCATCCCTGAGTTCTTGAATATTTTTCTGTACCTCCATGAGCATTTTTATGATTTTTATTTTGAAATCTCTTTGAGGAAGATCGATGAGTTCAGTTTCACTTTGTCCTTTTTCTGGAGTTTGTGGGATTTTGGTTTGAACCAGGTTCCTTTAATGTTTCGTATTTGTATGTGGCAGTCTCTAGTGCCCAGTAGCTCTACTCTCTGGAGCTGCCCAGCCCTTGGAGCCATGTCACAGGTCACGGGGGAGCAGCACTGGTGCCTGGGGGGAGGAAAGAGCTATTTACTGCTTCCTGGCTGTTGTGCCTGTCCAGAACCCATGGGCCTAGTGCACAGGTGTAAGCCTCTGTGCTTTAGATTAGTAGCTGCCGTAGTCAGGACCTCCCTCTGGCTGGCCTGTCGCCAGGGCTGGGACTGCCAGTTTGTTAGCTGGTGCTGGCAGGCTGGAAGGCAAAGCAGGCTCCATATCATGGTTGGGGGGCCTCAGAGCTGCATAGACACGCGGGGGGATGGAGCGCCTGAAGTTTCTGAAAGTTCCCAACCTGCTGGGTAGAGTGCACCTGACAATTTAATTTACCTGTCCTTTCTCCTGAGCAGCAAGCTCTGTGCAATCCTTGCTCCTTTAGCAGCCCTCTCACTGTTAGGAAGTCTCCCAGACTGCCTGCCTTTCTTTTGTCCCAGAGCAGCCAGATATGGATCCCTGTTTTCCACATGCAGCTGGAATCTCAGTCTCTCCAAGTATTCCACCTGTCTTAGCATTCCAACCCCACAAATCTCCATAGCACCATGCAATGTAGGTTTGTGCTCCCAAAGCAGATCTCCAGAGCTAGGTGTTCAGCAGTCCCAGGCCTCCACTCCCTCCCCACTATTTCCTTTCCTCCCACCAGTGAGCTGGAGTGGGGGTAGGGCTTGGGTCCCTCTGGGCCATGGCTTTGGTTTGTTACCCTGTTCCGTGAAGTCTCTTTTCTCCAGGTGTATGCAGTTTGGCACAGCCTTCTTTCTTGTTTCTCTTTTAGGATTAGTTGTATTAATTATATTTTCATATTATATGTGGTTTTGGGAGGAGACCTCTGTCTAACCTCTCACGCTGCCTCTTTAATCCCTCCCTCTCTTTGTTTTTGATCTTTGACATTTTAATTGTGATGTATCATGGTGTGGTCCTCTTTGATTTCATCTTATTTATGGCTCTTTGCGCTTCCCAGACCTGAATGTATGTTTCCTTCTCTGGGTTAGGGCAGTTTTCAGCTATTATTTCTTTAAATTAAAGTTTTCCACCCCCTTCTCTTTTCTTCCAGGATTCCTATAGTGCAAATACTAGGACATCTGATATTGTACCAGAGCTCCCTGAACCTTTCCTCATTTCTTTTTATTTTTTTTGCTCTCTGCTGTTCAGTTTGAGTACTTTCCATTACTGTTTTCCAAGTTACTAATCCATTTTTCTGCAACCTCTAGTCTGCTGGTTATTCCCTTCAGTGTAGTTTTTATTTCATTTATTGTATTCTTCATCTCTGATTGGTTCATTTTTAGATTTTTTATCTCTTTGCTGAAGTCCTTCCTGAGCTCATCCATTCTTCTCTTAAGTTCAGTGAACATCTTAATAAGCATTGCTTTGAACTCTTTATCAGGCAGCTTGGTTAATTCCGTTTCGCTTAGTCTTTTTTCCCCAACGTTTTACCTTATTCTGTCATCTGAACATATTTGTCTGTCTCCTCATTGTGTTTGACTTTCTGTGCTTGATTTTATGAGTTAGTCAGAAGACTGCCTTTCCCAGTCTTGAGTTATTGGCCTCGTGTAGGAAGGTCTCCGAGATAGATTGTGTGCCTGGTGGTTTTGGCTGGCTGGAGGCTGAGTAAGCATGAGACGGGTATGTCCCAGTGCCAGGTCTCCTATGCCACAGGCTGGCATCTCCTGTGTGGTTGCCAACTGGGTCTGTACTGGCTGGGAAGCTGGTGTCAAAGGGTACAGTACAGGATGCTCCCAGATGGGCAGCAGCTGGGGCCACACTAAGGGGTGGCTGAGGTTGGGTGGGTGCAGTCCAGGGGTCTCTCAGGTTGGCATCTGACTTAGGTGTGCAAATGGGGCAGCCAGAGGCAGAAGGGGTTGTGAGCAAGATGAATCCATATGCACACTGCATTAGTACCACCTTGGTAGGACTGTTGGATCTCTGACAGGCATGCTGGTTGTGAGCAGGGGGCCAGGATGTAGCCTCTGTTATGTCTGGCTCTGTAGAGTTCGATCTTACGTGTTCTTGTACATGCTATGAATGTGCATGGGGAACACAGACAGTTTGCTCACCCTGTCCCATCCTCACTAATAACAGTGATGCTCCTCCTGTTTCTGTTCACACCAGCAGCTTCCAGGAAAAATGCAAACGGTGGTGTCCACTTTGCTCTCGTTTGCACTAGCAATGTTTGGTAGGGGATGATGGGGAAGTACAAACAGTGGACTCATTAGCATGTCTGGTCCTGAAGAGAGTTCCAGCAATTCTCCTATCATTTCGAGGTTGAGTTTAAATCCTCTAACTGGTGATTTTTTTCCCTGTGCTCCAGGGCAGGTGAGTCTGTACGCTAGTGGCTCAGTGATATCCCTCCCTACTGCAGGGAAATGCTGGGTTGTTAGTGTGTCTCCATCTCTCCTTCAGTTTTTTATGTGGTCTTTTTATCCTTCACTGTGCAGTAGGTGTTCACTTGGCCTGTTCTTCCTCAGGATGAACTGCTCTGTGTGTAGGTGCAGGTTTCATGTGTATGTAGGAGGAGATGGGCTCGGGCTTTCTCTACTCTGCCATCTTGGACCCTCTCCCCTCAAGAGTATTTTAAATTCTTGGTCTGTCTCATTGGTCAGAATGCCAGGGAAACAGATTCTGAGACAGATTTAGTTGCAAGAAGTGAGGAAAGCAGACTGAGCAGAGAGAGAAGGTAAATCGTGATGGCAGCTGAAACAGTAGCCTTGGCCAATCCTCTGCAGAGTTCCGAAGCAAGAATGGCCCTTCAGAGCGTCCCAAACTGAGGCTAGAGGGCTAGGCATTGTACCTCTGCATCTGTCAGAAATTAGGTATAGGGTCCCCTCAGGGAGCAGAAACATGGGTAAGGAAACTCACTTTAGCCAAGGGCAATGCCTGGAGTGCCAATAACAGGCAACAGTACTCCAGTAGCTGGAGTAATGAATGCCTTAGTGTTACAGGGAAGATGTGGATGGCATACTGTACTGTCTACTCAGTCTGGTCTAAAATTTCTGCTTCACATGGCATGTTACCTGGTCTGTTGTTTCTTTTACTCTTCACATGTCTAATTATTTTGACTTGTGTGCTTACATTCCCTGGGAATGTCAGCTACTTGTCTAGTAATGTGTACTGGAGAAGGGTCAGAGGCCAGTTCCTAATCTGTGTCAACTCCAGTAGCTCCAGTAAGAGAGGAGAGGGTGAGTGCCAAGGCAGAGATTATGGGCTCTCTGAATTTACACCAATCAGTTCACTAGAAAAATTCTAGTCAGGATTTTACCTTTGATGTTGGTAATAGGTATATAGTTGATAATTGTCAACCTTGCTGAATTCTCTTACTAGTTCTAATAAACTGTGTATCAGCTTTCTTGGACTATACATATCCAGATAGCAGCATCAACTGCTAATTATTAGGGTTTTTTTCTTTCTTTTCAGTTTATAGTATAAATTTCTTTTCCCTTACTTCATTGGCAAAGTCTTTAGTACAAAGTTGAGTTTCTTCTAATATTTTGCCATTAAATAGGTTGTTGGTTTTGGGCTTTTGGCATATACCCTTTATCAGAATAAAGAAGTTTTCCTTCTATTCCTTGTTTGCATTTCATTTCTAAAATGAATAGATGTTGAGTTTTATCAAATGCTTTTCTGCATCTGAGGTAATCGTGGGTTTCCTTTTTTAATCTTTAATGTGGTAAATTACTTTCATATTTAAAATTTTTTGAGATAAAATTCACATAACAAAATTCAACATTTAAGCCATTTAAAAACAGTGTACAAGTTCAGTTATTTTTAGTATATTCAGTGTTGTGTAACCATTACCACAATCTAATTACAGAGTGTGTCCATCTCATTTTTTTTTTTAATTGCTAAACTTAAATCTTTTCACTCCTGAGATTAACCAGTCTTGGTCATGGCATAGATTCTTTTTTTAATACATTGTTGGATTTGTACAAAACCATTCTTTACAGAAGTTTTCCTTGAATGAAATTTTGTCCCTGTTTTGTTGGTTCTTTCACAGCATCTCTGGAAGCTGATGGTAGAAGAGTCTGACTTACTGGGTCAGCTGAAGGTAATAGGTTCACTGTTGTTTTAACGCTCACAAATGCTGCTGGCCGGCATTGACGTCCTTCCCCAGCCTCGCCTGAGAGCATGGGTCACCTGTGCCCTCTGACTTCCAGAGTGGCCTCATAGGTTATTATCCACATGGACAAACACTAACTAATACTGTAAGATTACCATGTACAAAGCTTTGAGTGTTTACTTTCTCCTGGTGTAATGTAATTGTGTTTTCATTGAAATAAATGATACCAAAGACACAGCAGCCGTTCTGCCCTGAGGAACTGCTAAGTGTCCCTTTGAAATGTAAAAAGCTCATATATCCTTTTGTAGGTTGGGTTCTCCACTTATGAAACTGGAAATTATATGTGTAATTAGGATAGTGAGGAGCACTTCTATTGCTCAGTTGTAAATTAAAATTCTTTCCACAGATCATTAAAGACTTTTACCTTCTGGGACGTGGAGAACTGTTTCAGGCCTTCATCGACACAGCTCAACACATGTTAAAAACACCACCCACTGCAGTAACTGAACATGGTAATTGCCTTGTGGGCCTGCGAATGATCAGCTTACTGAAGTTGCAGGGTGTTTCTGGGCTGCTGCTGAGATGTTTAGGCACATTCCATGTTAAGCACAGCCTGGTGAGTTACAGAGCAGTATTTCCAAAGATGGAGACCTTTCAGGTAGGCTTCACTCTGAGGTCATTACGAGCAGCCTCCTGGCTTCTGACTCTTCCTGGAAGATTTGCTACAGGCCTCCAAACCAGGTATTTTATCATCAGATTATAGCCATTTTATTCCTTATGAGACATATCAGAAATCACTACCTCTTGTATTAGTACTCGTTAGGTTGTGAATGATGGGCACCTAACCTGAACTCACCTAGGTAGAAAAAGGAAATTGATTTTCTATTTTATCTCTAACTCCAAGCAATACGGGTATAGCTGGGCCTCAGAACAACTGTAACTAGGGACCTGATGCTGCTAGGGTTCTCTCTCTCTTCCCATATCCTGTCTCTGCCTCTTGTTTACTCTTCAGTGGCTTTTTGGTCCCATCTGGGGAAATGGCCACCAACAGCTTCCAGGAACATACCTCACAGTGTCTTTTGGAGAAACCAAAACCTGCCTCTCTGGTAGCAAGTTAAAGGATTCCAAGGAAAGGGTTTGATTGGCCCAGCCTGGATCCTATACCTCTCTATCTCAGAGGTCAGACATGCAGACCCGTGTGCTTCAGTAAAGTGATCACCATTGACCAAAGGGAATGATCGCCAACCCCATTCCAACTACATGAGGGGAGGTGAGTCAGGATCAGAGTCCAAAAAAGACAGTTTTCTAACTCTAAAAAACAATAGATATCCACTGTACTTACAAACTTTTTTGGTTCCAGGTATCAACCCAATTCAAACTCAAGCAAAGGGTTAAAAAAAAAGTTATTGATTCTATTGACTGAATAGTCAGAGGCATGATGGCTTTAGGAAGTTTGATCCACTGGCTCATAATGCCTTTAGGACTTGGTGTCAATCCATTTTCTCCTCTGCCTTTCTTCTCTGCCCTGCTCCCTGTAGGAGCAAGATTGCCTCCCAGCCAAGCTCAGATCCTGCTAAGTCCCTGTTTATCTTGGGAGAGCTGCACTCTGTCAGTCTGAATAGAGTCTGTGGATTGGCCTGGCTTGGGTCCTGTTCATACCCCTGAACAGTGTAAACAAGGGAGAGTATGATGTTCTGTTTGCTCATGCCTGGGTCACCTGCCTACCTCCAGAATCAGGTTTTGTCAGCCCCACTGGAGCTGCATGGATTGTACTGGGCAGGGGCTATTCTCCAAGGAAAATCAGGTGCTATAATCCATGAGAGGAGGAAGAGCGCATGCCAGTCAGGTGGTGGGCAGCCATGTGGGCCGTGCCCTGCTCTGTGTTCAGCAGGCAGGAGAAGTGGAAGCTGGACGAGTTGGGTTTGCCCGGTAGCCAGGCAGTCTCGTCAGCCCCATGTTCTCTCTTGCAGATGTGAACGTGGCCTTCCAACAGTCGGCACACAAGGTGCTGCTAGATGATGACAACCTCCTCCCTCTGTTGCACTTGACAATTGAGTATCACGGAAAGGAGCATAAAGGTTTGCCATTCTTTCTTGCATCTTTCTGGTCCTACTGGCCATCTGTTCTCTCTGCTTCCATCCACCTCCACAGAAACCATACCATTTTGGACCTTAGAAGTTACCTCTTCCAACGTCCCAATTTCACACAGGAAAGGGCAGTCCAGAGAGGCTAAGGGAGATGCCCAGGCCATGGTTTTTGTTTTTGTCATGTTGCTGGAATAGCATCTATTTCCAAATACCAGACTTTAAGACTGAAAGAAGAATCTCTAAAAGAACCTCCTAAGAGAACCGCACACAGTTGGTTCCCTGCCTTCTGCAAGTCGCCTCTCTGGTCCCCTTTATGCTCTGACACTGCAGGCTCGAGTGGTGCCTGTTTCATGTTAGTCACTGTGAAAGTCACTTTGTAGGCTCTGGTTCTACATTAGCAAAGTCATCTTTTCTTAACAGAAGCTATGCAGGCAAGAGAAGGGCCTTCTCGAGAAACTTCTCCCCGGGAAACCCCTGCGTCTGGCTGGGCAGCCCTTGGTCTTTCCTACAAAGTGCAATGGCCGCTACATATTCTTTTTACCCCTGCTGTCCTGGAAAAGTGAGTATTTCTGAGTGTTTCATGAGTAAGTATTACCCACCTTACTTCCAAGGGAAAAAATTATCAGGAATAGAATTGGTGGGAGCAAAATAGCGACCCAGTGCTTTCTAACAGCCTCTAAATCAGAGGTTGCATACTCATTGCCTTTGGACTTCAGAAGCTGGACAGGTAATTCAATCAGTAGCACTGCAGACGTGAGACAGTGGGGAGTGGTGGGCACTGGAATGAATGGAGGGTCAAACTCTTAAAACCATCGTGTTTTTTTTAACATAACAAAATAACAAGCAGTTTATAGGCTGCCAATTTGTGACTCCTGAAAAATGCAGTCTCAGGCACCCAGTCAGAGTCTGGCCTGTGATAATTCCATCAGACTGACAAGATTCCTCCGTAACTTTTTAAATTTTTTTGTTGTTGATTTACATGGGAAGACTTTCCAAGCCTAAGTGTTTGCTGTGGACATTAGCCACTGGGGAGGTCACCTCCTTACCCCCAGGGAGAGGCACCAGAACAGCCATACTGGGGGTTGAAGGAAGGAGCTGCACCAGTGGTGAGGCACTGTCTTGGCTTGGCTTTGTACTCTATCCACAGAGCCTGCCAAGTGCTGCTGATGTCCCCAAACCAGAGAGGAGCTAGAGCTCTAGGGAAAGGAGGCAGACGCACACTGGTGGGTGGAGGCATCTGAAACCCATTCCCACACCATTTCAAGAATTTCCCCAGTCCACTTACAGGTTAGGATGCTGGCCCCTGGCCTGGTGGGAGGACAAAAGGTGTCGTGCTCAAGCTAGGAAATGAAAAGGGAAACAAATGAACAAAGGGCCTCTCTTTGTCTTCCCTGTTTCTGTTCAACAATCCTCTCTACTTTTTCAGGGTAGAGATGCTTAGGGTATGAGAGACGAGGCATAAACTGGAAAAGACAAGGCTGGTTCAGGGAATGGGTTCTGTGGCAGGCTCGGAGCCCACACCTTCTGAAGGAAGCTGTGTGGGCCTCATCCAAAGAGCCTGCATCGCTCCCAGCACCCCACAGGCATGCAGTCTACTCACCTCCTCACTTTTTAATGCTCTTGATACCATTGAAAGAAATCAAGCTCAGATGTCCTTTTTGAAGCCTTTATGGTGAAGATTTCTAAACATAAACAGAAGTATGGACCTTAAGGAACTCCTTTATGTACATGTCCAGCTTCAGTGACCATCAGCATTATGCTACTCGTGTGTTTTGCTACACAGCCTTTTAAAGCAAATTCCAGGTATCATTTCACTCCTTCACTATGCATTTCAAAAACACATGTTTTTAATATAACTACACTATAATTATCACACCCAATAAAATTAACAATAATTCCTTATGATCTGATACCCAGTCCACATTGACAGTTCCCTAGTTATCTAAAAAATCTTTTTATGGTTAGGTTTGTTCAAATCAGAATGCAAACAAGGTGTACTGTTTTTAGTATGTTGTTCCATTAGAAATAATTTTAAAAACCAAATGGAACTGGATTTTCTTCTGCAAACCTGCCTGTTAAAAAGGAAGTGCATCATTTCCACCAGGAATCAGCTGTTCTTCCTATGTGTCTTCTCAGTTTTGCGGCTCAGCATTGGGTATAGACCGAGTTGCTGCCGGACACCAGCTAGATCTCCGTGAGGGGGAAAAGCCCTCAACTTTCTCCTCTTTGGGCTTCAGGGACAGAGAACTGGATGAACTGAAATCCTTGGTTCCTAACACAGTCTTATTTTTGGCCCATCCAAGACCGTCCTTCCTTCCGTCTTACACACAAATATGCCCTAAAACCACTTCCCAGCAAAAAACTAGAACACTGACAGCAGTCTGCCAGTGCAGGCCTTCCAGTCCTAACCCCTCCACTCCCCCGCCCCAAGGTGATCACTGTCGTAAATCCGTGTTTTCTGACCTTTTTATATGTAGTTTCATAACATCCTCATACAGCTTATCAAAGTATACTTTTTCTGTTGTTTTAAGCCTTGTGAAAAAGCATCAGGCTATATGTAATCTTCTGAGATTTACCTTTTTTATTCAACATCATACTGCTAGGAGTCATCCTGTTGTGTTGTGCAGCTGAAGTTCATTCATTTGAAAACTGTGTAATACTCCATCATGTACGTAAGCCACAGTTTCCACATCTCTAGCCATTCTTCCTTCCTTCCTGCCCTTTTGCAGAGGGGTGGGTGGCACTGAGGCCTGGGTCTGTCATGCAGGTGGAGATGGGGAGTGAAGTTTTTTCTTGAAGAGCCTGATGCTTCTGCCTTAGGTACAATGTTGTTTTCAAGTACTTACTGAGCGTGCGCCGGGTCCAGGCTGAGCTGCAGCACTGCTGGGCCCTGCAGATGCAGCGCAAGCACCTCAAGTCCAACCAGACTGATGCAGTCAAGTGGCGCCTGAGAAATCACATGGCCTTCTTGGTGGATAATCTTCAGTACTACCTGCAGGTCTGTGCTGAGGGTGCACAGAAGGGAGGCGGGGCATGGAAACAGGCCCAGGAGGTTGGCAGGAGTTAAGTGATGCGGGCCTGCAGTCTTGCATTGGTGAAATGCTACAGTTTGGGGCCATTTAAAGGTTGTATCACTAGGCATGTTTCTTATGGGCATTTTAGAGAAAAATGGTAACAGGTGGAGGATGAGGCATTAGGGTTCTTGTCAACACTGCAGTATTTTAATTATTGCTAACATGATCCTTATTTCTACAGTTTGCTGTTAACTTATAAAATCCTGCAGGACTTAGACCAGTCAGTCAGCGAAAGGGATGTGGCATGGGGGATTGGATTAGAGGGGCAGGGGCAGGGGGCGTGATCTGCCAGGACATTGGAGGGTGTTGGAAATCAGGCAGGTAACTTGCTGCAATGCCAGACCATGTAAGGGTACCTTTGGTCATCAGCCTTGAAGTGGCTTGGAGAGGAGGATGAGAGGGCAGAGAATTTCTTTGTCGTCCTATCAGGCTTCTTAATGGCTTTGAGTGCTTAGATTATGCAAGGGTACTAAAGGTATTTGTCTATCTGTCAGGTAGATGTGCTGGAGTCTCAATTCTCACAGCTGCTTCATCAAATCAATTCTACCCGAGACTTTGAAAGCATCCGATTGGCTCATGACCACTTCCTAAGCAATTTGCTGGCTCAGTCCTTTATCTTGTTGAAACCAGTAAGTAGGGCTGGTTGTTTTCCTCACACTGCTTTTAGCCAGACTGTCTTTTAAGCACTTTGAGTTGCCAGGATATGGCACTATCATTAATCAATTGCTCAGGCTCCCATTTTCAAACGTTTTTAACAACTTATAAAGCAAAACTGAAAGGGAATGTTAAAAGGTACCTTAAGTGTCTGAATTTCTGGAATGTATCAGGATGTGGTGAGAGCTACAGATCAAAGAATATGAGCTTATGCTTTATCAGTCATGTTAGCCAGTTTTTCCTCAGTTTTGTGCCACACCACAAAACACTACAGAGTTCTCTTCTGTTTTGGTATCTGGGACTCTTATTTTTGCTGCACTAAGGGAAACTGAGTCACACAGATGCCACTCCAAAGAGTCCTGTTGTGAATTGAAAACCGAGAACCACCATGACAGGTAGACTGTCCTTGTATGGCGTGAGTGCATCCTAGGGGAGAAGCAGAATTATCAGAGCAGGTGGTCATCATTAAATATTTATTGAGTGCTTACTGTATGCAAGGCACTGGGGATACAAAGAGGTATAAGTCATGGCTTTGCCCTTAAGGAGCTCACAATCTAGTTGGAGAAACAGAACACACATACACAGATCAGTGACAACACGGGTAACAGCACAGGTAATATACAGAGGGAGAAGCAAGGGGTCACCAATGGCTATGGTGGGGAAGAGAGCATTCCAGTGGGAGAGTCTGTTCTGGGTTCAGGAACAACACAAAGCACAGCCCAATGCAGACACATGCTCAGTGGGTCCTAGAAAGAATGACTAGTTTATCAGAGGCTAGAATGGGGGTTTTGTGCAGGGGTGGCTAAGAGAACAGCATCTGCCAGGAAGGGAAGCTGTACATGCTGCACTTTGAGGGGCTGGCAGGACTTGCATATGGTAGTGTCTCTCCTGAGGTCAAATGTGGGAAAACAGGAATAAGTTAGCTCTTATTTTCCCAAACCTTTAATCTCACAGATTTATCTTCCTTCTTTTCCTAATGCCTACTCTGTTTCCTGGTAGGTGTTTCACTGCCTGAATGAAATCCTAGATCTCTGTCATAGCTTTTGCTTGCTGGTTAGTCAGAACCTGGGCCCGCTGGATGAACGTGGGGCCGCCCAGCTAAGCATCCTAGTGAAGGTGAGTTGGCTTGGCCATTGGAAGTATGCAGCCCGTCCAAAAGACAGAGGTGGTTTTACCAATGGGGAATCATGATCTTTACCTCTAAGTCACTAAAGCATTTCCCCCATGCACATGGACATAGCAAGATAACAAAGATTAAAATGTTGGTTATCAGTTGACTTTGAACAAGATAATCATGTGCCACCTTAGCATTTAAAAATAGTTCCTCCCTGAATAGTTTATTCAGCCCACCAAATGTGTGCCTCAGGTTTGTGTTCTCACTTTCTCATAGCCAATCTCCTTGCTTCCCTGAACCAACCCTCTGTTTTACTGAGATATAATTATCTGCCTGTAACAAAAACAGGCTCTCCCCAAGCCCAGTACACAACAGAATATATTAATTTGAAACCAGCTGCTAAATTCCTATTGAGAATGACAGTACTTCTGACGGGAGTCACGTGCTATATTAACTAGGTATAGAAAGCCTTTTAGGAGCTAATAGAAATGAGAATGGGGGAAGGCTTGTTGGTGCTGTAGAACTTTGAGCAAGGCTTTTCTAAGGAACATCCCCTTCCCCCATCCACAGGGACAGCAGCTGAGTCTAAGAGGAATGACAGTTTGAACCCTCCTCTCTGCAGGGCTTCAGCCGCCAGTCTTCGCTCCTATTCAAGATTCTCTCCAGTGTTCGGAATCATCAGATCAATTCAGATTTGGCTCAGCTACTGCTACGACTAGATTATAACAAGTATTACACCCAGGCTGGTGGAACTCTGGGCAGGTATGAGTCATCCTTGGGGAACTCTGTGGATTGTTTGTGTGCATCTTTTTAGAGTTGTAGAATTCCAGAGCTGGAAGGGGAGAATTCAGCCATCTTCTAGTCTGAATACCCTCATTTTATAAGCAAACAGGTTCAGAGATATAAAAGACTGTGTCTGATCATCTCTAAGAATTTTAATGATTAATTTCCAGTAAAAGTTATCATGATAGTAAAATATTAAAATTCCTGACCCTGGGACTGGTTTTAAGTTGTGTATTGCTACACTGGGAGGCAGCATGGCTTCAGTTCCCAATTCTGACAATAACTAGCTGTGCAGCCTTAAGTGCCCTTCCTGGCTGGGCCCCAGATTCCATGTCTACGAAAGGAAGGAACTACTCCTTCCAATTCTAAACTTAAAATAATCTAATAGATTCAGTGGTAGTTGGCTTCTTTGAGGTCTGTCCCATTCAAAAAAAAGCACTTTATTGGTCTTTCTCTTTAAAATGTCCTGAAGCAGATTCTTCCTAAGTGATTTTGACAGATGAGTCAAAGAAAATCTGAGTTTTAAGATGACATTATCTAGATCTCAGATTGCCCTGATTCATATTTCGAAAATCTCGGAAAAGCATACTTGATGAGGCTTTTTTTTCCTTTATAGTTTCGGGATGTGAAAATCTCTGCAATCTCACCACATTCCCAAGTCTCTAACAGAAGATTAACAAACATCCCATTCTCTAGCCACTCACTGTCTGTCTGCAGCCGACTGAGAGGGCTCCTACCTTTTCTCCTAGAAGGTATTTTACTAAACATCCATGGGTACATCCTTCCCATTCGGAAGGGTCTGTTCTGCCTTAGGGGAGTTCTTAATTCGCCCACCAAGGGGGATATGTGGGGTGTGCTTTCCCTCTGCTGACCATGGAAGATCTGTTACATTGAGAACATTGTTGGATACATTCATTTGTTGAGCACCTGCTATCTGCCCTGGGAACTGTTCCAAGTGCAAGAGACACAGCAATAATATAGATTTAAATATATAATATCTAAAGTTAGATGTTGTGACTCATGTGAAAAAAGATTTATATTTATAAACCGGTCAACTGCTGATGTTACCACTGAGCAAGAAGGCACCACATAAGATGGACTTCTCTTCACCCCACAGACTCTCTTTCCTCCTCCTTCCAAAAACTGAAATTTGAGTCCTCCATCCTTAAGGATCTTCAAAACTGTGACTCTGAAGAATTTTAAAAATAACTTCCAGTTATTTCAAACTGTTAAAAAGGGCAGTTCTACTACTGACAGTGTATTTAAAGTCTCCCCCCGCCCCCTCCCCCACACACACCCCGCACACACACCACACACACCCTCCTTAAGAAAAAAAGTTGAGGTCAAACTGTTTTCAAATACTGAAAACTACAGGTCTGGTTTTCAAAGAACCAGAGGAGTTGAGGTTCTCCTAATCTGGCTGAACCATTCCTGGTAATCACTAACGTTCATATCAGTATGAACCAAAATTATTATCCATTGAGTAACTCCTTCCAAACTGAAGAGGAATGCAGTAGTCTGGCTTCAGTTTGTAGCCACAGAATCTGATCCTCATCTCTACATGTTCTACTGCCTCCTACACCTTATTCCCTGCGGCTGGCAGCTAGAGAGGACTCCTCTACTGCTGTCTCTGGAACAGAGGTTGGCAAACTCTGGCCCACCACCTTTTTTTTGTAAATAAAGTTTTTGCTGAAGCACAGCCATGAGCCTTCATTTGCCTATTGTCTGTGGCTGCTATCATGCTATCACAGCAAAGGGGAGTAGGTGTAACATACCAAATAGCCCGCAAAGCCTAAACTATTTACTGTTTGGGAGGAAAAAATATCGGTAACTTCTGCTTTAGGAAATGAGAACATCAAATGGGATGATGCCTGGGGTAGGAAAGGAGTGGCTTCCAGTAACTGACAGTAACATTTTGGGCCTCTGGCGAGAGCATCTAACATTTCCAAGTGTTATTACCATGTTTTTTTTTCACATTGATCCTTGCAAGGGTCATCCTGTCAGGTGTACAGTCACTGCCCCTGCACAGCAATTAGTCCTTTCACCTTTTAGCTCTTAAGATCTCAACTCCTCTAAAGAGTTTTTTGATTGCCAGGAAACATAAGGCAATATCCAAATCCACTCAACTTTTGGTACAACTTTTATCCCGGGCCTACTAAAAAATCAGGTTTGGGGAAGTATTGAATTCTATCTAGGCCAGGAAAGTCTTTTGACAGTGATGCCACAGAAAACTTTAAAATTCACTCATTTTCCTTGACTAGCTGTCTTCCTATAGTGAACAAAGCCTATTAAAAAAAACTGCAGAAAAGGTACTATGTCTTATTTGTTCTGAGATTAAACTCAAAGAAATGCTTTAAGAAATCCCAATTACTACAACCAAAGAGATTCAACATTTATTATCATAAAAGTCCAGCAAATAAAACTATATACAAGATCCATGCAAGGAATCCAGTTACACACAAGACACATTTAAAACCTGATTAAGACACAGTCTTCACAACAGTAGGGAATAAAATTGGTAAGACCAAGTATCCTTAGTGAGAAACATAATCATGTTTGTATTTTGGATGCTGCTTGAATCCAGTTCTCTCCCCAACGATGAGGCACTGGATCACCCACTCCTGTGACACCACAGGCAGCTGTAGCGCTTCCGCACACTTCAGCACCGAGGCTGGGCATGAGGGGTCCGTCACCACCACGTCAAATACCCCTAAAGCAATATCTGCAGAGAGTGGGGCAAGGGGAACAAGGAAAGGAGACTCAGTTTAGCTAGCCTCCACGAAAAAGAGAGCTGTGCCTCTGAGCTGGTACATCCCACTGGGCCCAAAGGAAAGCCCTCTGTTACACACAGTGCTGCTGCTCACCCAGAAGTGAACGGTTAAAACCACTGTAGCTGACCTGGTTGAAATGTTTAGCAAATGGACCACTGGACACACCAGCAAAAGCATCAACAGCCCAGTGCTCACTCCCCTCGCTCACCTCTTATGGCGGTGTTTCTTCTCTTGAAAACATGGGGAAGGTCAGCCTATCAGGACTGAGACTTAGACCACAAGACCTAACAGCTGTGGGTCTAAGGACATCCTTGGAGCAGTAACAACAGACACACTTTCCAGGTACCTTTGTTATGGGCACTTGAATGGTGCTGCTTCACGGAGGCTGCGCCCCCAGTCATGAGGATCTCGGACCAGAGCTCCAGGAAGTTCTGCTGTTGGTCTGATACCAAGAGTACCTTCAGATTCTGGAAAGGATTTTCACGGGGTTGCCTATGAAGGAGTCAGAAACATAGCACCTAGGAACTGAAGGGGAACCTTAGCATGAAAATATACAAAAACAACGTTTCTGCAAAAGGACATCTGAATGCTTTCAGAAGCTTGGCATTAGGGCATCATCCCTTTCCCCTCTAATCCACCCCTCCTGATTTCAGTGCTCCTCTGGGATCAGAAGCAGCCAAATCCTGCTCCTAAGCCTATGCTTTTAAATGCCTTGCTTAAAGCTTAGTCCCCTAAACTTTACAGGTTGAGAATATTGAACCTATATGAAAATCCTCACACATTTTCAAAGGTCTCAAACCAATATACCCTGGAGAAACAAGATGGACCATTAAAATAATTTCAAACCCATTCAAATTCTGTAATTTATCCTACAGTCAATCTAGGTTCTGAAAATACTCTTTCACCTAGATTTTCCTCCTCAAGCTTGCTGTCCTCCTGTCTACCACATTAAATGGGCTCTCAAATACTTGCCAATCCAGAATTCTCTGCTCTTCAAGGCTGTACCCAGCTGGCAGCAGATAATTGCGGTAATTCTGGAGCTGGTTGGCATGGCAACTATCATGGACCCAGACATGAGACACACAAGGAATCCCGCTGGCAAGGCACAGAAAGTACTTCCGGGTTCGACAATGCTGATCCGCAATTAGGAGACACTGGTAGGCAGTGTTACACTGGAAGAAAAGGAACAGAACTAATGGGTCTGGTGACTTCTGTGGGAAGTCCCTGACTAGCAGCCCTATTGAGTCCTAGAGAAAACATCTGAACACTGAGAAATACTATACAAAATATAATGGAGCCTGTCCTGCCCAAGGCCTTTTCTCACTGAGAAGCCCACGTGGCTTCCCTCTGTACTCTCTGTGCCTCACCTGCAGCAGCTTTCTGGAGGCCTAAATCCTCAAGAGATAACCAAACCCCATTCAGCCTTTCAAGAAAAGAATCAGCAATACTCTAGTAGGGATTTCTATTGAATACAGATCTCAATATGCATTGAGATCCCAGCAACAGAACCACAGCCTTACATCTCTTCCTTGTACATAGTAAAAATTCTTTACTATTTCATACAACCATCTTTTGACAGTTTCCCAGTTCCTGGTATCTCTTAACGGCTGCATCCAACCTCTCCAACCCCTCTCAGGCCTCTTCTCTCAGTACAACAAGTGGACTCTTCTCATCACTGCCTCTCTGGGAAGCTATACAAAGAAACTCCTCACCTGGGCTTCATTGAAGTCTTCGAGAATATAGCCAGCTCCTGCTCGAAGCTGGGATTCTGTGTACTGCTTGTTGAAAGGAGGAATTTCTAAAAATTCTATATAAAAAAATGTAACCAAGATAATAATTACCACAAGATGGTTTCTATTTGCTACTCCATGCCTGCTTCTTACTGCCCCTTTACCACCCCCCAGCTATCTCCACAATACTGTACCCCAAAGGTGACTCAAGGGCTCCCCACTAGGTCAGGAGGAGCTTTCTCTTAAGGCCTATAAAATGCTGCCAAAAGAAGGGACAAGAGCAGAAAGAACGGGAAGATGAGAAACAGAGGTAGGCCCTAGACCTAAAAACATCAACAGTTTCTTCACTAAGTCATGGGGCTGTTGACAGGGATGGACACACAACCACTCCCCCTAGTGACATATTCCAATTTGAGTATCCCTATCAGTAAGTTCCTTGGCTACCCTCAATCTCTCCTGCAAACTAAGCCCACTTCCTCTAACTGCTTTCTGTGGAGATGAACAGCTGATGAGCACTTTCCATAACAAAGCTTTCAAATTCCCCCTTCATCAGCATTTTTACCCTTTACACACTACAACTTTGATAAATCAGAATGCTCAGATAGGGTTTCTAAAATCAAACTGATTAAGTAAAGGTTAGCCAGAAAATCCTGTTTCAACCTTTTTACTGAAATCTATCTACCTTTGATGATCCTGAAGTACCTCAGGACACTGAACTTCAGTGACTGCTCTACAGTCTTGAGGGTGAAGTAGAAGTTATGAGAGATGAGGCTGAAGCCTAATGACCCTAGGCATTTACAAATTACTTCTTTTGACCAAATATCTAATTTGAGCTTGTTTCTTTCTTGTCATCTGCTCCTCTCATAATAAATAACAAATTTTAAAAAAGAAAAAAGACATTAGAGATTTTAATTAAGAATTCCAAGAAATTAAGTTCTATTGAATATCACAAATAAAAAACCCAACCAAATGCATCAAAGTTCAAGGACAGGGCCACTCCCCCCACCTCCATCCCCAGTGATAAACCCTGGCAAAGATATGCCCCCACTGGTGCCCTCCCTGTGCTACAGCTGCCCCAGCAGCGCTGCTGACCCCAACTCCAGCCTCTACACCTTTGTTTAGGTCTGACTAGCCAGCCTATTCACTTTTATTGCTCTTCACTTGGTTCAATAGTAGTCGCCTCTCTCAAGATGGAAATTCAAACTGGAAACTCTAGGTGGTTATAAGAAACTCAGTATAGCAGGCCTGCTTCTGTTTGTCACTGCATCCTTTTGACCGACCTCAGTATATCACGTCACAATTTTCAGTACCCACACCACTGCTACATCACTGCAGAGGCCCCTCATGGTCCTTTACTTTTCTCAAGACTTCTATGTTATGTCTGCTTGATCCAGGTCTGTTTCTAGGCCTGACCTATTTAGATTTAGGTGTTAATCCCCAATTACATTTCCTTGCATCTGTGTAATCAATTATTATCATGTCTAGGTAACCTATTTGCCTAATTTTTCTACATTAATTTGGATTTAAATTTACTTTTGACTTATGAGCAGCTCTTTCCAACCAGAAGCTCAAAAGGGAAAGTTTTTAATTCCATCATCTAAATCAAGAGTGAAGTACTAAATAAACCCAACTGCACAGTCAATGGCTATGACTGATGGGTCCTGACGATGCACTACCTGGGAAGATCAGGCGACACGTTCTTAGCTCATTATAAATAGTCTGATAAGATAGATTCAAGTATTCTACTGAGCTCCTAATATAAACTGGCATCTAAGAGACTCCTATTTATCTGCAAGACATACCACATAATTCCTTGAAAACCATAATTCTGTAGAGGATTGTTTCAGTACAAATATCTTCAGGCTTCTTGGAATTGAGGAACCTGTAAACATTTTCAAATGCCAAAAATATCAAGGATTTTGGTGCTGTTGCGGCAAAGTCCAAGGATGAAGGAGCAACATAAAGCAGACATACTCACCACAACCACATTTCCGACAGGAAACCTGAAGGTCCCTCAAACTGTCCAAATAATGGCCTATCTCCCCTCACTAATGATTACATGATGGGATTAAAAACATTTTAATGTATCAGCAAGGGAGAGTGGAGGGAATTTTCATAAGTTTCTATCATTTCTATTAGAATTCACATGGGCTCACACATTTTTGAGGATGCAGACAGTCTGCATCTCATACGCAGCTGGCTGGCTTGGCCACTGCTGTGCCCACTGTGAGTAAAACATCCACAGAGCTGCCAAGTGAAGTCCTGGTCTGCAGAAGGTCTGGGAGCATGCTGAAGAAAGACGAGTCCAGCAATGTAGTGAAAGCAAAAGAAAACCAACAATACTGTCTTGGCGCCGTGCACACCTCCTCATAGCATCCTCAAAGGATCCCAGTTACAATGAAAGGAAAACTATGTTTTTGGCTAGGAAATTCCTCACACACCTCATCTCGACTGTTCTTAATCTAAATTCTGACAGGCTAGGCTTGGTGCACATTTAACCTTGAATAACTCCCACACATACCACACCTACTCCCACACCCCAGGGCCTCCTTACTGAGGCTCTCCCAGAGGGCCCTTCCAGAGAGGATAACCCTTAACTGCAGCTCCCTGACCACCCTTTCCATGCCCCTGTAGATCTCCACAAGGCTGCAGTGGGCAAGACAGTTTTGGCTAATTAGGCAAGTTATCCACACACCTGAAATACCAGCCATTGGAGATCTGCAGTGCTGCACTCTACGATAACCACGTTCCCTCATAGCATTCCCTCTTAAAAGAGACAGTGTCGTTCGGAATTCTAACGTGCAGCACATC